GTTTAATTCTGGTGTCATCTAGCATCCGTTTTAGATGGATAATCCACCATCAGATCCTTGTTGATGAATCGGTCATACCCAAAACATTTCATCTCAATTGGAGCTCTTTTACCTGTTTAATTTTTTGTCTAAAATAAATTGGGGCCAAATTCATTCTTCACTATATGCATGTTTGGTGCTTTTGATGTAAGTTTTAGTCAAACGACTACTGTTGGATTTGTCTCGTCAAGACGGTCGTAGCCACAAAAGTATAGCCCGATTAAATTTTGTTTTATACCCAATGTTTTATTCAAAATAATTTAGTTTTTTCTATGTACGGCCTAATTCAGGTGTAGTCTAAGGCCAGTTTCTAGTTTTTTATTTACGTTGGATTCCTCCTGTTGATGATCATATACCCAAACCTTCAAACTAATTGGAATAAACAATAAAAATTAAAGAAAATATAAAACAAATTCTATTGACTAATACTTCCCACAAGAAGAGCATGTATGTTATATACAAATGTTCATCTTGGATATAACGTGACAAAAAGCTACAGAGAGGAGGGGTTTGGTGAGGATATCTGCTAGTTGATTGGATGAAGATAAATGACTGAGGATGATAACTAATATGCTGACTTTTTTCGTGATTGACAGTCAATCTCAAAATGCTTAATCCTTTTATGGAGTACAGGGCTTTGTTGCTATGCTAATGACAAACTTGCTATCTAAATATAATGAAATAGATGAAGAATCATAAATTTGAAAATCTTACAGAAGTTATAAAAGCCATTGTGTTTAAGAAGTAAGCTATAAAAACATGGGAATGGGGTTATAAAAGCATGAGAATAAGGTTCTACCATTTTCTTTAGCAGCATTTGTAGATGTTATTAATTGAACTTCATCAAATTTCACTAAAGACAACTATAAAATTTAGCTTGCAAAGTATCATGATCTTTGAGCACGCTCTACTGCCTCTGCACTCATATGACTCCAGCTGAAGTTGAGTTTAAGCAAAAGAGAGTCAACCAACCAAAAATATTAAGATTCATGCACATGATATCTTTACAAAGAAACTAATAATAACAATATTAAATAAATGAAATACAATATCTGAATATATATATATGATGTGAATCAAAACTTTAAACTTTATTGCATGAGTGTGAAGTAAGAAATGTGGGTGCATAAATTGCCCATAAATCACGGCCTACAAAAGGGGAAGGCCCCTGGGGGCTTCAGCTCCCCTTTATTTTNACATTAAGAAAATTTGGGC